GTGGTAGAGGAAGTAGATGTGAAAGATGATAAATCGGTGCCAATCAATTGGGCTGCTCTATCCTGGGTTGTTTCAAGATTTTTGAGTGTTATTGGAGCTGCAGGTGGGAATTATTCCATCATACTTCTCGCTTGGTCAGAAATCACATGACACCAAGTTATTATCCACTATGTTTATTTGAAAACACAAGCTTTCAGAGCCTTGCCCCTTCTTCAGGTGTTAGTGAGACAGAGAGTATCAGACATAGAATTTATAAGTAAAAGATCAAAGGGTCACATAACTGATGAGGATGTATTAAACAAACCTAAGATGTGGTTAAATCTTTAATCAGTTAGATGGTTTTAATTGATTAATATGTATATGTAAATCCCCAACTTCCTTTCAAATCACCGTTCTGAGAGAATTAAAGGTTTTATCAGTGTTAATAAGAGCTAAATTTTAGGTCAGACAATGCATGTTATGTATTAGGACTTGTTTAGAATCTGTTTATATTTTGGTTTGAAGTCAGAGTGGTTTTATTTCTAAAGTAGGAACTTAACAGAATAATAGATATCATCACTTTACTAATTAACTGCTCCAATATAGTAACATCCCATAAACACACCCTGGGCAAAAGGCAGCTTCAGAAAACAGATTGGCTCACATGCAACTCCCACAGCAAGAAAGAACCCCCAGCTTTTGTCTGTAACCAAGAGAGGGAAAAAATAGCTTCCACTTCTTCAAGACCCCAACAACAACTGCTGAAAACTAAAAACTCAAAATCCTGGTTCTGTGAGCGCTTCACCGCTCAGGCTGCCTCTGTTGTTCCATGCACAAAAAAAAGCCCTAAGGCCTCAAAGCTGTTTACTCTCGTGGCTCTGGTAGACAGATCATCACCTCTGCTTTAAAACTTGCTTTCAAAAAAAAGGACGAAATAATTTCTTTAAAGGCATAGAATCATCACATTTTACATCAGTTCCACAAGTAACTTCTGAGTATTAAAACAAAAATTGCTGAAAAAGGTCAGCAGATCTGGCAGCATTTGTGGAGAGAAATCAGAGTTAATGTTTCGGGTCGAATGACCCTTCCTCAGAACTCAAGTTCCGGGGGTTTTGAGAAAGGGTCACTTGACTCAAAACATTAACTCTTGATTTGTCTCCACAGATGCTGCCAAACATGCTGAGCTTTTTCAGCAATTTCTGTTTCTGGCTCTGATTAACAGCATATGCAATTCTTTCAGTTTTAACTTCTGAGTATTATTATTTATTATGTTTATACAAGCTAATTCTATTTTCTGATCTTAAGAACTAAAATGTTTTCTCATCATTGCACTAATATCATCTCTAATTTACAGAGCTCTCTCACTACATTTTCCAAGCTACCTGTCCTTCCCAAATGTCAATTAATCTTGATTATTCAGGTCTGAGTCTATGTTACATTTCAGTCACATCTCTGAATTGCCTATCAGATCATGCCTATTTATTTCTATTTGAACTGACAATGCATTTTTTTTTAATGAATGCTAAAGGAACTGGTACATTCAGGTACAAAGACTTTCGCTTTCTCTTTTGGTACCATTACTCAAGAGAGAATTGAATACATTTGAATATATTCAATGACCCAGTCTTCACTGCTCTTTGAGGTAGAAAATTCCAAAAAATAACAAATTACGAGAAAGTCAGTCTTTTCTCATCTCCATCATAAAGGAGGGATGCCTTATTTTTCAACTGCGCCTCTAGTTTTCGATTCCCCCTCACATGGGAACATATCCACATTTACTCTGCAGAGCCTCTGTAGAATCTCTTATGCTTGAATAAAATCTCCTCTCATTCTTCTAAACTCCAATGAATGTGGACAGCATTCTAGTGACCTCACACCCTAAGGTGCAAGAAAATAGCTCACCACCACCTTCTCCAGGGCAATCAGGAATGGACAATTATTGCTGTTCTAATTGATGATGCTCACTCACCGAGAATGATTAGCATAACTCCAAACATATAACCTTCTTTAAATAAAATCGCAACGATACACAGTACCATTTCAGGAGAATGACTTGTGACATAATTGAAACATTCAAGATTCTTAGGGGCTTCACAGGGTAGGTGCAGGATGGTTGTTTCCCCTTGTAGGAGAGTCTAGAGCCAGCAAACATAATCTCAGAAAGATCATTTTGATGGAATGTATGACCTCACACCTTCCCACATCATATTCCATCTGCCACTTCTTTGCCTACTCTCCTAGCCTCCCCACTGCCTCAACTCTACCTGTCCCTTCACCCTATCTCTGTGCAATCTGCAACATTAACAAACTGGAAGAAGGAGCTGAGGGTATGGTTGCTAATATATAATGTGGATAGTTGTGATCCCAACACTGACCCCTGCAGAATTGCACCAGTCACCAGTGGCCATCCTTAAAAAGACCCTTTTATCCCCACTCTTTGTCTTCTGCCAGTCAGCCAATCCTCTATCCATGCCAGTATCACTCTGGAGTACGTGAATGTAAACGTAGAATTTGGGAAGAGAGACTATGTGATTCTTAAGCAGAATGACAAAGGGAGTAAGGAGGTGTTAGAGGTTTTGGTAGGCTTAACAGTGGACAAATACCCAGGTCTGGATGAGTTGTATCCAAGGTGTTGTGAGAAGGAGGAAAGAAATTATTGGAGTTCTGACCCAAAGTTTTAATTGCTTTCTGACGAAAGGGGAGTTACCAAAGTTTGGAGGACAGCTGATGTAGTTTCACTTTGCAAAAGGGATAGTCAAGGGAATTATAGATCAGTGAGTCTTATGCCTTTGGAGAAAAATTCTGAAGGAGAAAATTAATCTCCATTTGGAGGGGTGAGGTTTGATCAGTTAGTCAAAATGGCTTTGTCAAAGGGAAGTCATGTCTAATGTTGAATGAATGTTTTGATCATGTGACCAGGTGTATAGATAAGAGTAATACATCTAACACAGTTTATATGAATTTCAGCAAAATCTTGGATAAGGTCCCACATGACAGACTGTTAAAAAATGGCAGATGGTTTCAAGCTTGTCAAGTGCTCTTGAAACTGCACTCATCCAGGCAAGTGAGGAGTATTCCATCACACTCCTGATGTGTGCTTTGTAGATGGTAGACAGGCTTTGGGGAGTCAGGAGATGAGTTCCGTTATAAGGTCAGAAGTGGGGATGTTCACCAATGATTGCACAAAGTTCAGCACCATTCGCAACTCCTCAGATGCTGAAGCAGTCCGTATTCAAATGCAACAAAATCTGGAAAATATTCAGGCTTGAGCAGACAAGTGACAAGTGATATTTGCGCCACAGAAATACCAAGCTATGACCATCACCAATAAGAGACAATCTAACCACCGCCCCTTGACATTCAATGGTATTACCATCACTGAATCCTCTACTACCAATAATGCTTGAGGTTACCATTAACCAGAAACTCAACTGAACTATCCACATAAACAAAGAGGCTAGGAATATTGCAGCAAATAACTCATCTCCTGACTCCTCAACGTCTGTCCACCATCTACAAGGCACAAGTCAGAAGTGTGATGGAATACTCTCCAGTTGCCTAGATGAGTGCAGGCCCAACAACACTCAAGAAGCTTGACACCATCCAGGACAAAGCAGCCACTTGATTGGCACTACATCCACAAACATTCACTCCCTCCACCACCGATGCTCATTAGTAGCAGTGTGTACGATCTATAAGATGTACTACAGAAATTCAATAGGTCCTCAGACAACACCTTCCAAACCCACGACCACTTCCATCTCGAAGGATAAGGGCAGCAGATACATGGCAACATGACCACCTTCAAATTCCCATCCAAGCCACTCACCATCTTGACTTGGAAATATATTGCCAAACCTTCACTGTCGCTGGGTCAAAATCCCGGAATTCCCTTTTTAATGGTATTGTGGGTCAACCCACCGCAGCAGTTCAAGAAGACAATCTTGGAAATGCCTTTGCCTTGAAATTCTATATTCTAATCAAAAACAAATGAGCTCTGCTTACTTAGTTGTTGATGACCCATTTATAGATAAAGTCAGAAATCACACAACACCAAGTTATGAAGCAACAAGTTTATTTGAAAACACAAGCTTTCAGAGCCTCAGTCCGCCTTCAGGTGTTAGTGAGAGAGGTACTATCAGACAAAGAAGTTAGAAGTAACCTACAGATAATGACAGCGGAGTGTACTCACAGAACCAGATGCTGCAAAAGAATAAAAAAAAGACCAAAGTTGTCCGAAGTTGTTATCTGGTTGGTCCTTAATTAGTTTATCCAATTTCTACCACCAGGATATTGAAGTCTTTCCTATATGGTCACCAATGCTATCATGGCGTGAGCATGAGGGTGTTTCATCTGATGTGATGTTAATATTATCATCTGTAACACAGAATTTCTTACAACTAATATGTGTAAGCATCACAGTCATCAGGAACCTAAGTGTCTTGGCCAATATTAACAAGAGAGGAGGATGTTGCCAGTATGTCATGCTTCAAATGATCAAAGATAAGATGGAACTTAAGAACCGGATACCTTCAGGTCACAGGTATGACATGCTGATGATGTCATGACCACGTCCCTTAAAGATATCTGTACTAATACTGGCTTGAAACGTGGGGTTGGGTTGTGGGAGCCCCTTACACCGTTTTTGGGGGTGGGGGAAGGCACGTGCACCCTGTGGACAGGATAGTTCCTCCCCCACCTCCCTAGCCCCAGGTGGTGGGGATTCATTCTACACCACTCCGCCTCGCTTTTGGAGAGGGGACGGCTATTCCCAGCACATTCCCAAACTGTTAATATCCAAAACGTGAAAGTTAGTCCGTCTGGTCAGGATTTTTACACTGTCTTCACGCCATGACCTGTAATTAACTTAGGTTCTAGTGTTCAAATAGATACTTTAATTTCTGAAGATCTGTTTAATCACAATAGATTGGTAATTTGAGACGTTTCCTGTTGACTCGAACCATCCTGGTCTGTTTATTATTGCCAATGCCTTGGGTTCGAGTTAGCCAGTCTGTCTATCTGTCTATACCTCACTGTAGACAGCACATGCGGTTCTAGTTCCCACGGAGACAGGAGCTGATCTATATTCAGTTCACACGCACTGGTTGCTTGGGAGCCTCCACAGTGCATTTCTTTCCAATTGAAACCGAGCAGCTCAGGGCCAGCGATGGGGATATTAGTTCCAGTGATACAGGCAGCAAGCGATGAACTCAAAGCGAAACCCGGCTCAAAAAATAATACACACACTTTTTGCTAAAAACGCCACAAAACTTCCACCTGATTGAAAAGCCAAGAAATCAATTTTATTAATCAGTGAATATTCAAGATCTATCGGACTCTGGTAAGTGTGTAACATTTTATTGAAGAGTTAGTGATGTTTCTCATATTAAAAAGCTGAGAACTGAGAATCTCCCTTGAAGCGGTTGAAACTCTGAGACAAATTGGAACAAACATTACAGAGGGCGCCAGAGAACTTGGGTCCAGAGGAGCCTTTTATTCACCAGTCTCCGGTCTCACCCATACCTAGAATTTAAGAGGAATTGTTGCTAATGTATCAAAACAAATCGGTCCTTGCCTCAGCAAGTTATTTAGGAAAAGAGATAGCAAGAACTGCAGATGCTGGAGTCAGAATCTTCTCTGATGCTGCCGAACCTGCTGCGTTCCTCCAGCTCCACACTGTATTGACTAATTGGGAAAAGATCCGCTTCGCCTGCACTCGCAATCACACAAATGAATTCACAATTCAGGTTAAACATGCAATTAAAATAAAAACTCATTGAGACGACAAATGCATTTCATACAGTCAATGGGCAGTTCATTACAAAGACGTATTCAACAACATTAAAATTTCATCCGACGATTACATTTGTAAAGTAAACAGGCTGCACTTGTCAAAGAGAGTCAAATCTTTATAAAGATCTTAAAATATTTTATGTAGAGGTTTAATTTTAAAAGCTGCAATTTGGAAGTGCTTAAAGAGCACGTGATGCCGGTCTCTGTGTCCAATTGTACTCACTGCGCCATCTCCGAGTAGATATTATTTTACAAATGGGCTAAGGTTTACTCGGCTCCTACCCACACTCTCCGGCGAAATGCAGCTCTAGAGGGTGCGCCGCCTGAGTCCCGTAGTGAAAACTCCGCTTTCACACAGAGAGAGACTGTACCAGCAGCTTCACATCGGAATAACGGTAAGGCACGAAGCTGGATATCTCGGTGAAGAACTGCGCGGGTGAATGCTCAAATGTTAAAGGTTTTGATCCGATGCAGAGCAGCAGCGTTTTTTGAGACAAAGCAGCCACTTGAATTATTGTTGCAAGGCAATGGGTGCGTTTTTTTTAGGGACTGCGCTGTGATGTATGAATGTAAAATGTATCATTTCACATGACTGAATCTTCTCGATTGTAGACTCCATTCTTTATAAAATGTGTCACGAAGCTGATGTATTTTGGAGAGGTTCAAGCCAACAAGCCAACAAGTCTTATCCATTTAGCACAGTAACCTATCGCGATTATGAGGGACAAGTCACCATAGCCGTGTCTAAAAGCGATCTCGGGACAAAAAAGAACGACAGTTTAATTGAACTAATCATTTCATTGTCATAGATTTCTCCGTATAGAAAAAAAAATGTTTATCAGTGGCTATTCCCAGCACCTGACTGATGCACAGTCGAATGTTAGACGCTCGCTAAAGCCATCTAGGACACGACTTTTACTATTTCGATGAAATGTGTGGTTCTCTGTTAGGAAGGAATTTACTGCAAATGCTTTGCATCTCTTAGGTCTAGTACATTTGGAAACCTTGTACCGATCCTCTAACTTAATACCGACTGGGGAAGGTGTACTGGGGGAAAGCGTTACTGTGAAGACATTATGGTAAATTCGGAACGTGAACTATTATTTAAATGTAGAAATTTCAGTCACTTTTTTTTCTGTAAAGCTTTGTAGTAAGAGCGCAGTTTTATGGAGTAGATGTTTCCAGTCTCGTTGTACGGGACTTTGCAGATACTGCGGCGGATTCTCAGACCGAGAGCCATTGAGTTCCTTTGTTTCCCGTGACGCATGCGCCTTACTGCAGGGTGGGGAATGAAGGCATCTCTGTAAATCATTCTGTCATTTATGTGTAGTCAGGAGGACAATAGAAATTGTTACCCGATTAAATTCCACAATTCCTATTTCCTTATGACTCAACGCAATTTACTGACCTTGTAGTTTCTAGGGTTTATATCAAGCTCCATGAACATTTATTTGTGATTTTTCGTATTTTAATGAGCAAAACAGGTCTGTATGAATGACCAATATATATTAAAAAAATGTTGAAAACCACAAGACTCCAGATGACAAGCCGGGAAATGCAGTCTGGCATCAACTACAAATTCCTGGGTGCTTTGGGGAAGGGCTTGGCTGTAAATGTATTCAAATATATTGCAACAACTGATTGAAACTACGTTGAAGTAACACTCCCTTTTCACTACTGTGTTTAAGTTGCTGTGTTTAGACCTAAATGTTAAAAGAATACAGATGCAAAAATATGCACCCCAAAATGTATTGTTTGATTTTGATGTTACAGATATGGCAGACTAAAACAAAACTGTAAATGGATGAACTTGTCCTATCATGTGTTTCTTCCTCTACCTTCTCCGTTAAACATGTGACTTTTCAGTGAGGCATTTGATAATTCTCAAATCATTTTAAATCTAGGCATAATTTAATCAAACATTCTCCAGGCAAGTTCCAACTGCTGACAGCTTTGAAAACATTGACCATCGCTAAGGAATGTTATATCATTACTGCTTCGCAAGAGAAGGTTAATAATGACAATTCAATATGATCTGCAACATCATGCTTCAGAGCTGACGTGGGTATTTTGCATTGAAGTGATGTCATTATTTTGCATAAAAATCAAACTTTGTGATGACACGCCTTTAAAATTCAGCCCTACCTTCATTAGTGTGTTGGTTAACACAAATGATTCGATGTCAGTTTCCTCCTCTAATGTAAGGGTAAAAAATACTTGGAAATATATCTGAATAATCCTTACTTAATTTAAGACATTATGCTGCTGTTCTATGATTATTCAGTTGTATGTAGACAACATAAATGTGCAGCATCCAATGCAGTTGTCAATAATATTTGTTGCTTATATCATTTAGAGGGCTGTTTTGCATGTTAAATTATCAGTACATAGGAAATAGAAGCATGTGTCGTTCATTTGGCCACTCAAGCCAGTTTCTAGACAGACAGAAAAGACTCTTTAAATCAATCAGGATCTTATTATGACAATGAGCACTTCAAATTATTTTATGATTACTCTGTAACAAGAACTGAAATCTAGAAATTTAAAATAATTAAAAATATTGTAAAACTTTGTTGTTCTCCACCATTATGCCATGTTTGTGCATATATTTAAACAATGAGCCCAGAGCCTGCTACTGAACCTTTCTGAAACTTTCACCATAGCAATAATGGGTCCTTTAATTTGGTGCTAATTGAACTTCGCAATGTTAATGCATATTTATTAAAACTGTTTAAAACCTCTCCGATAAATCCAGCTCCTTAAACAGTTTCACATTGATCAATGAGTGCATTTTGTATTAATGGCATTTACCTTCCCCATGAAGGGCATAATTGACTTCTCCCTGGGTAGATATGCGGAGTATGGGTGAATGTTCACAACTAAGTACAATTTTCAGGTTAATGTGCATTAGGTGAGCAACAAATAGACAATGGCCTGTTGCAGCAAACTAGAATGGAACTACAAAAGTATACTGCTGTCACCATAAACTACAGTTGATGACTACTGATGGCTTAGAAGATTCTGAACAGCAAATATATAGTTGCTTTAAATTAACTGATCTACAAGTGTTTAAGTATTAATCTCAGTGACCTACACCTAATGGTTGGGTTTGCATTAAGCAATGAAGAAACATTTCATTGAACTCCACAGATCCATCTGTAGCAGATGGGAATACAAATAACATTCCAAAATCTATCAAAATGTCATCTGTACTGTGAAACTCAATTAGCATCTGTAACATTACATAGCACATTAAAGTTCAGTATAACATAATTGCCCATCTCATTTCAAATGCAACTTTTGGTCACTTTTATGAATATGTTGTCAGCTTTAAATCCAGAGAATGCAACATGTTTGTCTGTAGCACTGTAATTTTGGCTGAGGGCTATTTCAACCATTGGCAAGTTAGTAGCTTCAAATCAATCCACTGACTACAACAATGGAGATATATTGCTGAGCTGTCCCTCACAAAACTCCAGAGTAGCACCATATGCAATGCCAATATTTTAATTCAGACGGACTTCCATATTTATGGAGAGAGAGAGAAGCTGCAATTCAGTATTCAGAATCAATTTCTAGTATAGCAAAGGCAAATTGCACACAATGCTTCTGCTTTCAACATGTCATTAAGATTGTCTTTTATGTTGTGTTGCCACCAACAGCTCTGCATTTTCTTCAAATGTATTATAGAACCCCTACGGTGAGGAAACAGGCCTTTTGGCCCAACAAGTCCACACCAACCCTCGGAGCACCCCATCCAGACCCATTCCCCTATAACCCACCTAATCTACAAACCCCTAAACACTACAGGCAATTTAGCATGGCCAATCCACCTAGCCTGCATATCTTTGGACTGTGGGAGGAAACCCATGCAGACACAGGGAGAATGTGCAAACACTACTCAGACAGTCACCCAAGAGTGGAATTGAACTTGGGTCCCTGGTGTGATGAGGCAGCAGTGCTAACCACTGAGCCACCATTCTATCACTGGCTAATGCAGGATTCCTGAATATAGATAGCATTTGATGAAACTGTGACTTTCCAGTTATTGGTTTAGTACAATATTTCAGACTTATATGTGCTGAGTGACAATATAATCAGATTCATGATAAATAGCACCTTGTTACCCCAGTTGCCTCCAGCTGAATCCTGTTATCATGCCATCTCACATCGAAATCAAAATGTAATAAATGAGGTGAATTAGTTTCATTTATCCAACAGTTTTGATTTGCAGTATTAGGAAATTTTGGTCATTAGTTAACCCATTTTTTAAAAACTGCCTTAACTAAATTACATTGATTCACATGGTACATCGGCAACAAACTGGTTAACAAACATTTCAGCTCAATAGATGCATTTATTGCACTCTTTGAGCAGAGAGTCAGCAATCAACTTTTGTAAATGTTGATGTGGTTTGAAAGAAACTGAAAAATTCCCAGCAAAACAAATTGGCAGGAATTTCTGAACCACATTAATATCCATGAACTTAAAACATGAAAAAAAGGCACTCCTCCAAATTTATAATACAGGCTCAAAGAATTACGTATTCTGCATTGTTGCCAGAAATGCAAAACAAAATCGCAAAGGTTCGAGATTGCACAAAAGGAACATTCCTTCCTGAGATCCAATGTATTGAATTGATATTTCTTACTGAGTTGTTAGCCTAACTTGAACAGTCATTTCAAAGGCATTTCAGACCCATGTCTCCAAAACTGACTTGGTCCTTCCAGCTTTTCCAACTTTATCACACACTGACGCATTTCTCCCCTTTGGGGATCAATGGTCATTTTTTGGAAGAATTAGCAAATTTATTATCAATCTATGGAATGGCACACCAACAAGTCCTAGAATGACACTTGAACACAGAGTTTCTAGATCAAAGACAGAGGCAGTAATGACTAAAGTTATTCATTTAGTACTTATAAAATCATCTTAGCACATCCCATTCAAAATACATTTCCAGATCCAAGTTAATAAAGGTGAAGTTTTACTTAGTTGTTTAAAACTGTTCTAATTGATGGCTCCCTATTTCCATTTTCTCATTCATAATTTCTCAGACAATCTTGATCAGTTGTCCAAAAACTTTAAAAATATATTTTGACGTTTTCAGAGTCTTAACATATATAATATACTTTACAAATGTCAAGCAAACATTCTCAGTAACTCAGTTTTGCAGAACAAATACTTATGACTAGATAGCTGTGCCAGCTAACCTGATACTAAGTTGAATGGAAGCTTGGTAATACATTGTTCTGAAGAAGGGTCACTGGATCTGGAAAGTTGATTCTACTTTCTCTCCATAGATGCTGCCAGACCTGCTGAGTTTTTCCAGCAATATCTGTTTATTGCTTTAGATTTCCAGCAGAGTTCCTTGTTTTATGATAATATGCTGGCC